GAAGTCAAAATGAATCAAAAGAAATATATCACAAAAATTCTTGACAAATTTGACATGACTCACTGCAAACCACGGACAACACCGTGTGAAATGAAAATGACATTTGACAATGAGAGTGAACCTGCCTATCCTAAGAAATACCGTGAAGTAATTGGAAGTTTGATTTATCTAATGACATCTACTAGACCAGATCTAAGTTTTGTTGTTAGTAAATTATCTCAGTACTTGTCTGAACCTAAAAAACAACACTGGGTGGCAGCTAAACATGTTTTGAGGTATTTGAAATGCACTGTGGATCAGGAGTTGTGTTTTAGAAAGCAAGATGTGGATTTGAAGCTTGTGGCCTATAGTGATGCTGACTGGGCAGCTGACCAGAATGACAGGCGCAGTGTTACTGGTTACTGCTTTAGTTTGTCTGAGACTGGGCCTGTTGTTTCATGGAAATCTAAGAAACAACCCACAGTTGCTTTATCAACATGTGAAGCTGAATACATGGCTCTATCTGCTACAACTCAGGAGAGCATGTATCTTGTGCATCTATTGAAAGGAATTGACACTTTGAACTATACACCTGTGAATGTTTTTGAGGACAACCAAGGTGCTATTGCCCTATCTAAAAACCCTGTGACTCGTCAGAGATGTAAGCACATTGACATAAGGTACCATTTTGTCCGATCTGTTGTATCTGATGGAAACATTGTTCTTCATTATTGTCCCACGGATGATATAGTGGCCGATGTTTTTACTAAACCTGTAGCAAAAGTCAGGATGGACAAATTTAGATGTTTTCTTTTTGGCAGGTGAACAATGGACTGTACTTTTGTGAAATGAAGTTGAATGTACACTGTATGTAATATTTGTGTCAATTAAGGAACAAGTGGGGGTGTTGACATTTGTGTCCCTAATTGATCCTGTTATCCACTTATGGATGTGGGCGTGGTTTCCACACCGGTGTGCAATCAATAAATGGCAGCAGCTCATCCACAAAAATGATCGCATGCAGGCCAAAAGAAATCTCATGTCTCTGTGTCGTATATTGCCTCTGTCTTATACCGGCTGATCAGCTCTTGTGGCGATGGCTGCGCCAACACAGGGGTTGCGCTGTGTTTGACTTGATTCAGATGACCCCGTTTCAACTCAAATGAGCTTTGGACCCTCCTGCACTGGCTGCAGCCCAGATTCCATTCCCTGAGATACCTGCTGATCCACACAATGCTGTAGAGTAGAGTTTGTCTGTGGTTGTGGTGGGCCAGAACACTTAGCCACAGCCTAACATTGCAGTTATCACCACAGTCATCACTGCATCGTTACCTCCAAGCGTCAGTGTCTCCTTGCTTGGTCAGCCAATTTTGGCATTGTGCATCATCCCAGCGACACTCTTTCATTTCCAGGCTCCTTAATCTGGCTAATTGCATTTTCGTCCTCCTTGTCTAGGTTCACTGTATAAAGGCTGCCATCTTGGATCAGCAAATCTTTTATACAATCACATCATTCTGTCTGCAGCCATGCTTCAACTTTACGGATGCTGCCCCATCCATAGGTTTTAGGGGGTGCTTTCAAATAGTTGGTTCTCATTTTTATGGCCTGCTCCCCTCATCAATTCTAATTCTCTGCTCAGTGACGTTTACCCATTAGCTGTAGCTTGCGTCATCAGGCCATTCATTCAGAATGGGAGCAGCCACAACAGCTTTCTGTGGCATCTCCTTGGCTTTTCTTATAAACGGGGCTGATGGTCATCAGCCTATGCCTCATATATCTGCCCTGAGCATGCCTTCATCCATCCGAACTGCTCAACGCTCTCTAAGCCTTTAAGGGTAAGTTAACTACAAATACTGGTGGTGGTTTCAAAACTCATTCACATCCTTAATCGGATCTGAATGTTTGATTATTTCAGTTGTGTTTTATAACCCATTCTCATCACTCATCTCACTCCTGTAATCCGTTTCCTGCCGAGGTCTGTGCGCCACAGACAATTGTATCAATACATTTCTTCCACCAAGTCGTGCTGAGTTTGTGGCTACTCTTCTCATCTAGATTAGCAGTGGGATAAAGATGATATCCTCTGGTTCATTCAGAGGGTGAGCAAGTGGGTCCAGTTATTCTGCTTTGCAGAATCCAGTCAAAATGTTCTGCTTGGCCTGTAATGCAGTTGACTTTCAGAAAGGAGAACTTTTGCATCTTCAATTCACCCAGGCTGTCCTGTTAGTCCAATAACAGAGGTGGTTCTTCTCAGCATGCTTGCCTGAGGGGGCAATCAAAGGTTTGGAACACATTCTATTCAGTTACTGTATGGCGGGTGGGTAACAGCTTTCAATAACAACAGCAGTTTACCTTCAGTTCCTCTGTTCTCCTCCAGAGCAGCGGAGGCTCCAAAGGAGAAACAAGGGCAGCTGTTGTTGTCTTTCAAAAATCTTTGGTGTGAGCTTCAAGGCATTGTGGAAGCTATAGTTACATCATGTTTACAATGATCAAATTTTTTACTGTAGTTTTGTTTATAATAACTTCCACAGTGCTCTTCATATACAACTTAAATGTTTTTATCCTAAATGTTTATATTCTCATATTAATTGATGTTAACTCTATATTTGCTTTTCCATGTGCAGCACCTATCACCAAAACAATTTATTTGTACATTATGATGTGTAAAACCACTACTGTCAGGAAACTTTAAAAGTACCATCAAATATTGACTATAGATTAATAATTCACTACCTAAAAATCAGCTCTTTTAAACAAGTTTGTTTGCAACAATGAATTTAACTTTCATTTGTTATGATTGTTATGCATGTTTATACAAGTCTCTAAAATGTGTTTTACCTTGTTGAGTAAGCCTTTCCCTAAATCTAAACAAATGTTGGATTCAGTGTTAAGAAGCGGAAGTAGCTTGTCATGTAACAATGGAGCGTAAGAATGGAACATCCTGTCCAAAAGAGGTTATCATTTGAAAATATGAAATAAATAGAAAATAAATCATTGTCTTGTGCTAGAATGTTCTGTTTGTTAGAATAAATAATTTGGGTGAAAAAGAGGAGTTGAATTAATTTAACTGCGATCCATTACTTACAGCTAAGGTCAGCGCCGAGAAGGAACTTCTGTATTTTCTGACCTAAAACACAGCTCCACATATGTAACTGTAACAGTTGATAAATCACATTCTGAGAATTATAAAAGGATGCTTTTTTAAATATTCATTCAAAGGGTTTGTTAAAAAATGCAGGCAGTAAAGTTCACTTACTTTTATATTCTTTTCTAATGCATACCAGACTGTTGGAATAACAGAGATTAGACAAAAGATTTATGTTTGTTCTAATCTTCCCTTTTAAGCATCCTGACAGAATTAGAGGTTGTCCTCTTGTTACAATATGATCTATCTGACAAAATAAAGGACACAAGGTGCAGTCTGGCTATGAATGTCTTTAATGTTTCCCAGATCAGAATCACAGCATACAGTGTATAATAATTTCTAACGCAACAGAAATATCATCACCTCATTTATTTATATGATTTTACTTTCCTTTTTTAGCTTTTTCTTTATTTACCACTGTTTGTTCATCTCAAGTATTGAGTATCTGAAATCAACATAGAATATAAAAAGCAAGACAACAGGTGCAGATTATTTATGGAAACCCAGGTTACATCACTTCATTGTTGGTTGGGTGTTTGTGATTTGATTCAAATCTGAACAGATGTAAGGTCCAATCTGGAACAATTTTCCATCTTCTAATCAATCGTTTTGCTGCATCACACCCTATTGTAGTAACTTTCATAACAAAAAACCAACACAGTGACATGATTGAAAAGGTTCGACCACCTCTGTGATCTCACGAGGCATCTTATGGTGTTAGAGCCCTAATATTTTGTCCCACACATAAGCAGCTACATGAACCACTGCTACATGATAAGTAATCTTATATATCTTTGCATTTTTTATATAATACGCCTGTTTGGATTTGAATTAAAATAGTAAGAAAAGATCAAATTTATAGATGCTGCCCGACTTTAAAATTATAATATTTCAGTAGAACAGATTTGTCAGAAGGTAAGACTGGTGATGAAAGGACATCTAAGTATTAAAGTCTACATACATACAAAATAAAAAAAATGAAAATATTAATAAACCATGCAAAAAATCTGCAGACAGTATCTCTGGGCCCTGGTTGTTTGGGGGCTTCAGTGAAACTCTGCTACAGAAGATTCAGGAATCTTGTTGCTACAGAATATCTACTGTACATGATGATGGTTAAGTGAAAAGATTAAAAGACTAATTCTGTTCTAGTTGATTACAAGTGACTATTTATTTTCTAGTGTTGTTTTGTTTTCATTATCAAACTGCACCTGTTGTCTTTTGTTGCCACTAACGAAGCATGACCTTCATCCACCCCCAAAAAAATAAACAAACCAAGAAACTTAATATTTACAAATTTTTCATCTGTTTGATTCTTACAGTTAAAAATGTACAGTTTTGATCCTGATCCAGATGTTGTGTATCTCTCAGGAGGTACTGTATTCATCTTCATCCAGCTGCACTGAAATCTGCAACAATGGCTCCCTCTATTGTTAACATATGAAACAGACCACCACATCCAAACTAAATGTCTTTCTCCTTTCCCCGCTGCGGTGTTAGGATTGACTTCACAACCTGTTACTTCATTTGTCCACGGGAGAGATTACAAAAGAGTTCATATGTTGACAGATTTGCAAGTGATCCCTCTGGCTAACAATGCAGACAGAAAGACGGCCATGTCTTTGAATATTTTGCTGTCTTTCAATCAGTTTTTTCTGTCCTCTGATTTAAATTTCAACATTTAAGGCTGTGACACTTTCTTTTCATCCTTGTTTTCCCCACAGCATACCCATTTGTATTTTAGTTGGCTCCTGATCTATAGATCTAGTCCACTCATGATTTGCATTGTGCATATTTCCCACTTATCGGGTTTATAAAAATCTCTGCCGCCAGGCAGCAATAAAATGACAAAAAGAAAGAGCCTAAAGCTGGAGCATGTTCAAAATAGTGACCTATGTCCCCCATACTGCGCATAAGCTACCATATGTTCCTGCTTTGTGAAATGACCCATACTACATATGCTGACATCTTCATCTTGAAAAGCAAAGCTTTAAAATAACTGCTTCCTAAACTAACAGAAGGAGAACAATTAGAAACAACAGACATGTACTGAGTTGCCTTTACCCTGTTCAAAAAAACCCTTCTCCTCTACAGCTGTTAAAGCCTGCCTGGTACCCTCAGTGTGCTTACAGCTACAAGGTTTAATCCATACATATGGAGATGCGAGATGAAAGTAATTACAATTTATGACAAGAAAATATGGGTAAGCACTGCTATATATGGGTGTCAATCATAAGGAAAAGTATCGGAACATAGAAGATAATAAGGCGAGGTGAGTTTGCTTGCTGTTATGTTAACTAATGAGGGCCTGACATGCAATTTAAGGTGGCTCTGATATAATTTATGTAATTAAAAACATCCATGTTATAGCATACATTCCACAAAATGTATGATCAAAGAGAGAAAAAATAGATTTTTCTTAACCTTGATTGTGTAGCTACAACATATTTGGATAGCCAAAAAGTGAGAATAGCTGCTAATGCTTCTCAGGTTGACACGGCACCACAATTTAGTAATGTACTAATCTGAGTCACGGCCATGTCTAATTCTTTTCTTGTTTACAAGAAAGATGACTAATGAGTTTTAGTAAAAATTAGGAACATTTTATGAATTAAGAAATACTTCCTATGGATCAATATAGAATTGGGAAAATGTGCATTGACAGATTCTTAAGCCTTTTTTCACATTACCATTCTTGAAAAATAATTCATGCATAGATCCCCATCGAGAAAACCCCTCTATATTCTTTCTCCTTTGTACACTTTTATATAGAACTATATATATCATTTCTCTATATCTATATTGTCAGCAAAAACTCTTGCCACAATAAAACACTTAAACAACAGCAAAAAGAAACTAGATGAATGAAATAAATCCACAATCAAAAGCCAGTTTGGCACTTGGTCATTAGAACATACAACCTGCTTTAGCTGACATGGATTCATTTCAATTCAACTTTGATCAGAAAGCAAAAACACACTTGGCACGAATCGTATTGATCGAGTGAATTGACGTTCCTTTTGACATCTCAGTACATTGTCGCTCTTTAAAGTAAAAGAGTACCCTAACGAGAGGAATCACAAGCCAATGAGCTGTAAATAAGACACAGATGTAGAAAAGAAACAAATAAGAAAACTCGCATAACACTCTATAAGACAGTAAAAGCTGACACCAAAGTAAAAAAGAGAAAACATCCAAGGTCCAAAAGTCTTTGTCCCTTTGAAAATTTCTTTAGACTGGAAACTGTGCACCTTCCTGGAAAAAGGTATGTCTGAAAGATCGACGCCACCTCCAGGCTGATTATCTGCTCTAGTGCAGTTCATTTTAGTTTATTATGTCTCCTGCTAAGCTGTACAGCACATGATGGTTGAGGTGGAGTTCCTCTGTAGAGAAACAAGAGAATGTAACAACGGAATGGAGGACGGCATCCCATGGCCTCCCTTCAAGAAGGAGATGCAGTACTGCGACTTCTTCGTTTGGCTCGGCGTGGGCCAGTCCTACTATACCCTGGTGGTGGAGTGGGGATGGGGCAGGGTGTTGTTGTGGCCTGTGGAGGGGAAGGTGTTGAAGGCATGGAGAGGCTGCATGCTGGTGATGGTGCTTGGGATCATGGTAATGGTGTTGGGCGTCATCAATGGCACATCATCCGGAGCCCGACGCAGTGCCAACGTGTAGTCAGGAGGGCAGGCAGGTCGCAGGATGTCATGTGGCCGAAGGGGCTCCAGGTCATGGTGGGGATCATGCTCTGAGTGCTTCATTTGCAGAGACATTATCTCCTCCTCCTGGCTGTGAGCCAGGTCATTGGCGGGGACACCACGCTGAGGAGACAATCTGTGCCGTCGCATCTCGTGCCGCTTGTCACGTTTGTAGTATAGGGCGGCGAACGCCAGGATGTTGAGGAAGAGGAGGGAGGCTCCCACAGCAACTGTGACACTCAGCTCAGTGGAGTAGTCACGGGTGTCTCCAGGAAAAAGGCTCTGGACTGGACGCTCCGAGCCGTCAGGCTCAGGGTCGGAGGGGAAGGTCGGGTAGGGATAGAGAGTGGTTCGAGGACCTGGAGTTCTTAACTTGGGTCGCATGGAGCCAGGGCCTGGACCAGGTGGAGATCGGGTTGTAGTTGGGAAGACATCAGGTGGACCTAAATGGGGGACAAGTTCTAGCCAGAATGCTACCTTGTTCGCTCTGTAGTTGTCCCTTACTCGAGGTTTCAAGCCGATGTGAAGATACTGCTTGTCCTTTGGGTTAAACTTTGTCCAGATGACTTCTTCAAAGCGGTTGGGTTTGGTGTGAATGAACTTAGTGTCTTGAGGGACTGGAAGGTTGGGGTCGCTGATGGAAGAATGATGAAAAATGAGATTAATTTCTTAATGCAACACATACAACTTTTATTCATAAATTCATTTATTTATTGAGGTGGTAGCAATAAATGAAACTCTATTCAAAATCACCTAAAAAGCCTTAGAAAGACACCATGGGGTCTCATTAAGCATATTCAAGATAATAATTATAGAGCTAAACAAGGTTTATAAGATGAAAATAAAATTTACCCCGTTTTAGCAAAGTTAGTCCAATAAGTCATGACCACAGCACTCAACATCACATCATTCTTCGAAAAGTTGCATGGGAACAGGTCAGTAGCACCGATCATTGGCACGCCAAACAGATATGGTATCTCATCCCCATGGGCAGCATCAGCCCATTCAGGCCTCGCCTCGGTCTGGCAGTGATGGTAAAATGTGTAGAAGTAAACCGGGGACTGGAACTCAGCATGAAGTTTGGCAGTGGCCACAGCAGGCGCCACCCACTGGTGGTCTGTGAACAGAGCTAACAGAGTCTTTCTTCTCATGTCCCCATTGTCCCTGTCTGCCCAGTCTGTGTACATGAATTTAATGGTTTCCCTCAGGATGTTTTTTCCTGTAACAAAAGGAAAGGGAAATTAATTAAGTAATATTACAAAGAAGGCTGAGGGAGATAGAAACTGTGTATTTGTTTTGAAATATGGATGGCAAGGAGCAAATCAGTGACATTCAAAAATATTTACAGGTTTAATTATTTCCTTAACATTTTTGTATTTTGTCTAGTTATAACTACAAATGTCAGTGTGCTTTATTGGTAGTAGGGTGGATGGACATCTTCGAATCCAAAAGCTGCCAGTTGGATTCCAGCTTCTTCTTGCCACAGGTTTATGTTCCCCTAAAGCAAAGCTCTTAGCTCCAAATTGCCTGCCGACCTTTTTATCTGTTGAACAATTTGGTTCTAGGATAAAGCATCTTGAGTGGTCAGAATGGGTAGAAATCCATTCTATTTACTATATGACTTAACGTAATTATAAAAAAACAGGTGTCTGTGAAAGTCTGTCAGGGAGAGACCCAACTTTCAGCATTATGAAGTACAGCCAATATATTAAAGGAAGAATTTTGGATAAGTTTAAAGGTTTATAAAAAAAAAAAAACAACATCTACACTTTTGATGAGAATGACAGAACAGCTAGGATCTACTTATATGAACCATATACCTTCAGTAAAGACATCAGTCTTTTTAAAAACATTGTAAAACTGGTAACAGATATAAATGTACTTGATATTATGTAACATATATTTTAACATGAAATATCATGTAACAGCTGACTTAAACCTGCTGTAGCTCTAACTTGCGGTCTATTATTATATCAATAAAAAAAGAAATGACTGGATGGAAATACAGAATCATTATCATAAATTTAATATCCTATCCAGCTAATTAATCAATATAAAAACTGATCAGGGTATTGGATCAGTTTATCTCTCTGAAGAGGCTTTTGAGCCAGTGATTTACAGGAAAATAAATTCATGTTTAAATCTCCCTATCAAAGTCTGGTGAAAATCTTTTAAAAACTGGGACATTTATCTTAATCCATACTCCCTGTCCAATCTATTTTGTAAGAAGGAATTGCCAAGAATTTCAGTTAGGGTCAGACATACCCAAAAAACAGCAAAAGGTGTTAAAGCAAAGTATTTATGTCAGCATATTACTAAAATGCAAACCAAATTTCTCAGACTTCTAGTAAAAATATAAAACCCATGGATGGTTTTCAATCTACCTCTTGCAATACTTTATGTAGTTCTATCACAACAAATTAAAGTCTGTGGCCATAAAATGACAAAATGTGAAAAATCTCAAGAATTATTAATGATTTTTGAAACCACTGTATGTTAAAAGGCTAGAAAAAGCCACACAAAGACAAGAACACACATTTCCTTTTAGATATCACAGTGACTGACAAGGACTTGGAAAGGAGTGTGACTGTATTATTCAACCGTGCATGTATTTGAACTGCTGCTTGCTGCGAGGGGTTTGCAGGCTGAGCTGTTAGGAACAACAGCGCTGTGATTGGGAGCCGGCTGCCTGCGGGCTGATGAGCGACAGCATTAGTGCCCACAGAGCCCCAAAGGCCAAAGCACAGACCCACCATGGTGAGAGATAATCTCCATGATAGGCAATCTCGTTAGTATGCTTGTCTTGGCTGATACATAACACTGAACACACTTTTTGTCTCTTCTCATTTTCTTGCTCACATATTGTTTTAAAGGCTTACACTTCAATAGAGAGACGTGCTTCTGGGGTGTTTGATGTTTTTTCTTTATGCTCAAAAATAGATCTGTGAAAGAGTCCATGCATTGCAATCTGCTGCAGGATCATGTGGGGAGAGATTTAAAGGCTGACAGATGTATGGGGTCAGGGTTCCTCACCTTCAGGATATAAATAAAGGTTATCCACAAAGTTAGAGATTGTGTAGTCAAAGGCTGCAGCAGAAATTCCATCATTATCCTCACTGTCATCCACAAATTTCAGTCCCTCTCCCTGGTTCACTCCCATGAGGATGTCATAGTTAAGGAACTCCCCCTGGTGGAAGAAAAAATGAAGTACAATTTAGAGAAATAAGCACTTGTTCTGCTACAAAAGATTCGATTTTTCTGTAAATCCTTATTAATTTGACAATTTAAAAATGTAATATTGATACTTATTTATCTAAGAATGCTAATTAGAATGTCAGTAATGCTTTTTGGTAATGCATATTTCAAGGCTGTTAAAAAACAGTAGGTGAGGGAAGATGAAATTAGATTTCAGTTTTAGTGACATAAGGTTCTCTGATTAAATGTACTTTTTCTGAAGGTAATAATGAATTGGTTTAATAAGCTTAAATGGCACCACAGCTCTGATTATGAAACCTTAATGCTAATGCAATTTAAAATAATGATCTTTTAGAGTTTTTAGAACTCTCAGGCCAGTTAATACACAACGAAAAACTGCAGATAAAGAGCTTTTAGATTTAATCCCTAATTATTACTGATAGTGTTGGAAATTTGTACTTGTGAACTAATAAGAGGGGTTTTAATTCTGATAACAAAGAAGGTTGTGCTCTTCATTCCTGGTATGAGTGTTTATATATGCACTAAGATGTATTCTTGTTTAAGTCCACATCCTTTCATTTTTAATTTATTGACATTTCTTCCAAACTATCATTTAGATATCAGAAGGCCAATATGGTAGCACAGTTATATGTTTTCAAAATCTGGTTCTTTGTTAGATTTCTTCATTGTTTGTGTTTATTATTATTGGTTTTTAATGGTTTGATCAATTGGGTCTTTTTACTTATCTCCTTGCACAGCATAGATATAGCTCCAGTTTTTTTCACCAGTGCCAAAATTATTTCATTGTAAGCAATTTCGCTTACTTTTAAAAAGTTATTGTTTTATTAACAATATTTGTCTCATTTTTCTGTTTAATTTATTTTATCATTTCATTGTTTTTCCAGTGACATACTAGTGTGTTTTACCCTTTTTTGTATCACATTTCACTGTATAAGTCTATGATTATCATTTATTAATATATATTTATAAAAGGGTTTCTTCTACATGTTCACAACATTTCTTCCCTATTGACGTTGATAATGCTGTACAGTTTTTTTTTCCCATATTTAAATGCTTTTTGCTTTCATCCTGCAAATCACCATCTGAATAATAATAAAGCTGAAGAGCAAAAAGGCTAAATGTTTAATCAAATGTCTTTAATTGTTTAATTTATAAAGGAAGGTTTAGGAATATTCTATTTTAAAGGGATTAAGAGATCAATTGAGAAACACAGTTAAAAACTGTCCATCTAAAAAATAGGATGTAGTTCTCCATGTGTAACATGTGACTTCCCACCAGCAGCTAAATGTCACAGCTTGACCTGTAACTGTGTGGAAAGGTCACAGCCACACCTTTCTCTCAGTCCTTAGTCGTCTCAAGAATCACCAAAGCTGTTCATAGAACAAAAGTGCAGCTAAGGTCATCAGCAGACGCTCACCTGTTGCATGAGGATCTCTGGATCGTCTGGTACCACATCTCCATCCACCACAGGGCCAAAAGCAATGTGGTAGCGGGATGGCTGAATGTCCTGGTCCACTAGCTCCCTGAAGGTCTTTCGCCTTAAACAGTCTACGAGGTCGGCGGACTCTGAGTAACTGCAGCCCACCTTCCGGGCCAGGATCGTGGTGTATTTCAGGGGCTCGTAGTTGACGGACCAGCTGGCAATTGCTGTGCCACTCTGAGCAATGGCCCGGTGGAACAGCCCTAAGAAGACAACATTTAAATAGAAATGTAATAAACTTGCAGGTATGATGTCCTAAGGAAACAAGTTTTGGTGTATTTTCTACAAAGTTTCTCAGTTTCTCAGTGCTTTGAGGTTGACAAGAACATGATGCAAAGAAACCCTTTCTTATATTATCTCTAACTGTAAATCTGACAGACTTTGAACTTAAAGCAGTCCTTACAGAGCACATCATAGAACTCCAGCTAAGGATACTGACCCCGGACTGGGAATAAGCTCTTCCTCTAAGTTAAAAGATCAATTTTAACTTTCCTTTCCCCTCGCCTTAGCTCTGCGCCTCCCTGGTTCTCCACCCTTTAGTCTCCTTCTCTGTCTCTTTAGTTCTGCCCATCCTGAGCTGTTGAAGCCACTCGAGTGGCTTGTTAAGGGGGCTGCCTGCCTCTCTTGTTTTCTCTCAGCCTCTATTTTTTCCTTTTCGTCTCCTCTCCAGGGCTGAAGATTGGTCAGTTAATTATTAAGCAGAGCTGCAGAGTCTCCTTTCCCTAAGGGATCAATTATAGTAAGAAGTAGCTTGGAAAAAGCTACACCTACATACATATCTGCACCAGGAGACATAGAAGGACATAGGAGGGGAATTGGTTATATTTGATTGGTCCTCATGATTGGGCTCTGTTCTGCTCGCTGTTTGGAAGTTATTTATTTGGCAGCTGGTCTTTTCCTATTTTCTGCTCCTTATTCCCAGTGGGCACCGTTACATCAATTTGATGTTAAAGATTGGTCAAGATTTTGACTTCCATGATAATTATTCTACAGAAGCTTATAGTTGTAAAAAGGTCCAACCAATAAATCAATCTAGCATCCAAATACTGCCTCATATTGCTAATAAACATATTTGAACTTAAAACAATATCTCTGCACAAAAACTTAACATCAAATTGACGTTGATTTGATGTCTGAATTGAATTGATGTCATATTGATGTCACAAAGCATCTTGGGATAAGGGACTTTGCAACAAGCATGAAGCTATTAAAATCTTGGTTGTGTTATTCATGCTGAAAATACATGCACCATTTGACCACCAAATGTGGGGAAATGCATAATATTTCAAAAAACATTTTTGAATTACCAATTATTTTATTTTATTTTTTATAAAAATTTTTTTTTTTTTTTTTGCAACCAGGACAAGCGCAGGTTGCAAATTGTCGGACACTGACGAATTACCAATTATTTTCAAAGACCAATTCCTCACGGTTTATATACTTTGAAATATAAACGTTTAAACGTAAGTGAAGTGTGATTGGACGATCGTTGTCACGTGAGTGTTGGACTTACGGTTGCCAGCCTACATTCAGAATCACTCCCCGCCAGAAGCTCCACCTCTTGCTGCAATTTTTGGTTTGAACGCGCTCTTCTCGGCTAAAAAAAGGTTTTTGTTGGTAAGTACATTATAGTTATATTTTTGTCATTATTAGTGTACACTGACTAATCTTTCAAAACTTTCATGCTAGCAGTTAGCCAGCTAATGCATATGCATATTAATGCTCAACCGCAGTAAATGGCACTATCGGAAATATTTAAAAGATACAGAATTAGCTGGGAGAATTTAATGTGTGTATGTGCGTTTGAGTAAGTATAGATAGAATTTAGTTTCATGAAGATATAAAGATATATAGGCATTATATTTCTGAATTACATCTCCGTCCAGTTGATGGCGGTAATGCACACAGGATGCAAACTGCCAGAAAACTCAATAGAAGAAGAAGATGGCACTATCGGTCTCCGCCAGTCAAGTGACATTTGTTGCTAAGACGCCATTTTTGGCGGAAAAGGCGTAGTGTAAACAACCGCAGCATAGCTAAACGAAGGACTAAAGGATTGAGTTTGTTTCTCTGACTATATGGAAAAAGTAAGCAGAATGCGAAATTACCGTACCGGTGTCGTGCCAAGGTAGTTATCCCTGCGAAAATTTTTATCCCCTCGTCGGGAGCGCGCACGGAGTAGGAAGATCAACCCGAGTTAACTCCGCCTCAATTCCAACGTGCAGAACTTGAAATTTGAAAGGTTTTACGTGTATGAAAGTTGAGCTTTACTGTTTTATTCTTTACTTCACATGTTATAGCAGAATATCGCCAGTGATATTGATCTAAAACTAATAATAAACACAAACGTTTGCTTGAAAGGTGGTCGCTGACAGCAGTGTCTACTCCTCCCTCTGAAAGCAAACAGATCCTTGTTCTTTTCCACACGTTCCTTAAAAAAATCTCTCATTGTTTCACAGTGTCCAAATGTTCTCATCTTCCAAGGCACAAAGCAAAAAAAAAAAAAAAAAAAAAAAAAAAAAAAATATAAATATAAATATATATATATATATATCCATCCATTTTCTTACACCCTTATCCCTCAGTGGGGTCGGGAGGTGCTGGTGCCTATCTCCAGCCATGTTCCGGGTGAGTGTGTGTATATATATATATATATATATATATATAGAGAGAGAGAGAGAGAGATTTTAATCTTCAAAGAAACAATTCAGGACACCCCTCACATTTATGTGGAGGCTGTGTGCAGTGTCATATGTTCATAGATCTCTGTGCATATGTGTATTTATGTTTTCTTTGCACCCTCTCCCACACCAACACACAAATGGGAGTCACAAGAGGAACTGACAAGTCCTTCCTTAGGTGGGGCGCTCCTCCATGTTGATCTTATACTCAAAACTTGTACAATTTGCTTTTTTTTAATCTTTTCAGATTCCATTCAGCTATCACAGCCTGGAGCCAGTGAAGCTGACATTGTTTCCCGGATGGCGGCCTATTTGCGTTCAGCGCCAGACAGGAAAGGTGGTGGTGGTCGCAAGACTGCTGCAGCTCAAAATGTTTAATGACTGCAAAATCTATAAAGTATTTCACTTTAGTTCATTGCTGTTGTTTGTGTACAATTTGTAGTTCACATATTTGTAGTCAGTTCCCTGTTAAACTACACAGCTGTTGAAATCAATGTTTTGGAATGTTTTAGAATAAAAATGTTTTGTTATACTTGTATGTTTGATCTTTGAGAGAATGCCATGGGGGATTTTTTGTAGAAAAATAGCAATTGTAGAACATAAACTTAGTTTAGATGATCCAAAAATGATTAATATTAGAACTATTGACAATATACTTTACAGAATTGCTATTTTAAAGGCCATGCATGAAACACTGCAGAACTGCAATACAGCTGTCTTGTATTTCAAACAGAATTGGGTTTGTTTAGGCCATTTCCTTCTCAAAGGAACTTTTTTTTTTTAATCCTAATGAAGGTCCTGTGAGACCGCACATTTATCTAAGTAAATGAAGCCAAGTCTGTTTGCAATACAAAACGTTGCAGAATCTTTCCGTCTGTGCATATTTTTAAATGTTTTTATTTGCAAATGTTTGACATAAAAACAATGTCAAAATAACATCAATATCATTATTTGAGTGAAATTTTACAAAAGCTTGACATTGAAATAATGTCAAAATGACATAAATAAAATCATTATTTGACATACATCAAATTTTGATTTACGTTTTTTGACCAAATTTTGATAACAATTTGATATCGGTGTTTGATGTCAAATTGATGTTTAATTGACATCTTTTGCCCACTGGGTTAGCACAGTTAATCAGGTTGGACCTAAAAATATACAGGTGCTGGTCATAAAATTAGAATATCATGAAAAAGTAGATTGATTTCAGTAATTCCATTTAAAAAGTGAAACTTGTATATTATATTCATACATTACATACAAACTCATATATTTCAGATGTTTATTTTGTTTAATTTTGATGATTACAAATGACAACAAATGAAAATCTCAAATTCATCATATCAGAAAATTAGAATATTACTGAAGACCAATAAAAACAAAGGATTTATAGAAATGTTGGCCAACTGAAAAGTATGAACATGAAAAGTATGAGCATGTACAGCACTCAGTATTTAGTTGGGCCTCCTTTGGCCTGTATTACTGCAGCGATGCGGCGTGGCATGGAGTCGATCAGTCTGTGGCACTGCTCAGGTGTTATGATAGCCCAGGTTGCTCTAATAGTGGCTTTTAGCTCTTCTGAATTGTTGGGTCTGGTGTATTGCATCTTCTTCTTCACAATACCCCATAGATTTTCTATGGGGTTAAGGTCAGGAGAGTTTGCTGGCCAATTAAGAACAGGGATACCATGGTCCTTCAACCAGGTACTGGTAGCTTTGGCACTGTGTGCAGGTGCCAAGTCCTGTTGGAAAATGAAATCTGCATCTCCAAAAAGTTGGTCAGCTGCAGGAAGCATGAAGTGCTCTAAAACTTCCTGGTATGTGGCTGCGTTGACCCTGGACCTCAGAAAACACAATGGACCAACACCAGCAGATGACATGGCACCCCAAACCATCACTGACTGTGGAAACTTTACACTGGACTTCAAGCAACGTGGATGAAGTGCCTCTCTTCTTTTCCTCCAGACTCTGGGACCTTGATTTCCAAAGGAAATGCAAAATTTACTTTCATCAGAGAACATGACTTTGGACCACTCACCAGCAGTCCAGTCCTGTTTGTCTTTAGCCCAGGTAAGACGCTTCTGACGCTGTCTGTGGTTCAAGAGTGGCTTGACACAAGGAATGCGACAGCAGAAACCCATGTCTTTCATACGTCTGTGTGTGGTGGTTCTTGAAGCACTCACTCCAGCTGCAGTCCACTCTTTGTGAATCTCCCCCACATTTTTGAATGGGTTTTGTTTCACAATCCTCTCCAGGGTGCGGTTATCTCTCTTGCTTGTACACTTTTTTCGACCACATCTTTTCCTTCCCTTCGCCTCTCTATTAATGTGCTTGGACACTGAGCTCTGTGAACAGCCAGCCTCTTTAGCAATGACCTTTTGTGTCTTGCCCTCCTTGTGCAAGGTGTCGATGGTCGTCTTTTGGACAACTGTCAAGTCAGCAGTCTTCCCCATGATTGTGTAGCCTATAGAACTAGACTGAAAGACCATTTAAAGGCTTTTGCAGGTGGTTTGAGTTAAT